TGGATACTTCTCCCGTTTTCCAAGGCCTACGGAACTCCCCGTTTCTACGGCGGGACTTAGTAAAATATCAATCAAAACACAGGTGGGTAGCAACGAACATCAAAACCAACTTTAATGTCAAGGATGTGGATGGAATATATATTCAAGAGCTCCTCCGTCCTTAAGACCTACATGTATTTTTTTATTCCCTTCCATGTGAATGTGTCTTATTCTCCTGTGCTAATATGCTTCTCCATTTTCCTTTGGCAGAGAGAAAATTAAATGTATGACTTGTGTTTGCAGGTCTAACGCCCAATCCACCTAGTTTTCTCTGCACGAAAAGACAAATCTACCCATTCAGTGTTTCCTTGAGATTCACATTTCAACAACTGGCAGGAAAAGTTCCTTTCTTGGGACATTAATTCTCCCAAATAACTCTCATATGTGAATGTTGGATCTTAGTCATCTCCCAGCATTGTTTATAGTAACAAAGGCTGATGGGAGATGTAGTCCCAAAGAACTGGAAGACACAAAGTTCGGGGGCCATTGCTTAGTCTAGGATGTGGGATTAATTTGGGAACCACTGGTCAGATACGATGTATGTGGATGACAGTGTGTTTACCTTTGTTTCGGCCAAAATAATTCCCCGCATTGTTTATCAAAGGCCCAAAAGGATTCGGAATGGTTTCCCCAGAGCAACTGGTGTGAGACACTGGACTCTTTACACCACAATTATCGCTAATATTGCCAAAATTATACTAAAATATGGTCAGAAGGAGAAGCGAGTGTATGATGAGGTAAGCAAGAGGTTTCCTTGGTGTATTACGGCAAACCCTAAGATTTACTCAAATGCCATCGAGTTCCAAATAACATACAAAATTGTGCGTCGGAAAACATGGCTGTGACCGTTGGAAGCACTGTGGAAGCATGTTGAGAGATCACCATAGCTTAAGAGTGAACCCATTAAATAATAGGAGAGACCGCTAGACCTAAAGGACGCGTACTTTCACATTGTAATAATGGTAGAAAAGAAGCACCGAGTTGTGAGTTTCAAGCTCAGCCAAGGCACCGTGTGATGATAATTGCAGCTCAATACTCAACCTTAAGAAAAATAAGACAATATCAATGGGAACAAGAGAATCCCTTTCTCCCTGCAATTTGATGAAAGAGGAAGGGAGGGCTGGTCCCAGACAACCAGAGGACATTATTGCCTTAAACACAGTGGAAGTTGTATTAAACATCTCTTTTTAAAAAATTACTATTGTGCACAAGCTTCCTTTCATTTAAGAATGAGGTGGAGATTTCTTTTATGTTGTTGTTCTCAGTTTTGAGCCAAAGTTGGGCAGAGTTTATGAGTTCGTGAGCAACACGACGACAGGATCATTCGTGCCGGCGTTTGGAAGGCGGCACCAAGTGCGCGGGCAACTCGGCGGGCAACTCGTGGCCCTCCAGCTTGACCTTGATGAGGTGGTTGGCCAGGGCAAACTCCTCATCGTCAAGCAGTCCGTCCTTGTCCACATCGGCCAGCTTCCAGATCTTGCCCAGGACAGTGTTGGGCAGCTTGGACTTGACCATCTCCTTCTTGGCGCTGGCCCCCGTGATCTTGCCATTGACAGGAGACAGGGTGTAGAAGATCTCGTCATAGGTGGGCTTGTCCTTGCCCACCACCCACTCCACGTCATCAATGCCCTCGCCTGCCCCCTCCCCGTAGCCGTGGCCGAAGGGCCCATTCATAGTGCCCTCGAAGGCCCCGCCCTTGACCGCCTGCGTGGGCATCTGCGACTCCTCCTGCCGCACCATCACCATCAGCCGGGCGATGTCGTTCGCCAGCATGTCGTCGACTGCATCCAGCAGCTTCTGCTTCAGCGGCTGGAACTTGCTGAAGTCTTGCGTCAGGAGCTGTTCCTAAGGAGAAAGAGAAAGAGAGAATGGACCGTCAGCAACACAATGGCATCAGTCTCACGAAAGAAGTTGTTCAGAAAGTATGGAATTGTGTAACATCTTGCCATTGAAATTGAATCCAGACAAGACAGAGGTACTCCTGGTCAGCCGCAAGGCCGAACAGGGCATAGGGTTACAGCCTGTGTTGGATGGGGTCGCACTCCCCCTGAAGACGCAGGTTCGCAGCTTGGGTGTGACCCTGGACTCATCGCTGCGCCTGGAACCCCAGGTTTCGGCGGTGACCAGGGGAGCATTTGCACAGCTAAAGCTTGTGCGCCAGCTGCGCCCGTACCTTGGGAAGTCTGACTTGGCCACGGTAGTCCACGCTCTGGTTACATCCCGTTTAGACTACTGCAACGCTCTCTACGTGGGGTTGCCTTTGAAGATGGCTCGGAAGCTCCAACTAGTCCAACGCTCAGCAGCCATGATTCTAACAGGAGCAGAGCGCAGGGAGCATACAACCTCCCTGCTGCGCCAACTCCACTGGCTACCGATTTGCTACCGGGCTCAATTCAAAGTGCTGGCGTTGGCCTTTAAAGCCCTAAACCAGGGGTAGGGAACCTTTGGCCCTCCAGCTGTGGTGGACTTCAACTCCCACAATTCCTTGAGGCTCGGCATTGGGCCAAGGTAAGCCTTTGGGGCAAATGCCGAGCCTCAAGGAATTGTGGGAGTTGAAGTCCACCACAGCTGGAGGGCCAAAGGGTCCCTACCCCTGCCCTAAACGGTTCCGGCCCAAGATACCTATCTGACCGCATCTCGGCCTATGAACCCACCAGGACTTTGAGATCTTCCGGGGAGGCCCTGCTCTCGATCCCGCCAGCTTCTCAAGCACGGTTGGCGGGGACGAGAGATAGGGCCTTCTCGGTGGTGGCTCCTCGGCTGTGGAACGCCCTTCCTACGGGCATTAGACTAGCACCATCTCTAATGGTATTCCGCAGGAAAGTGAAGACCTGGCTGTTTGAGCAGGCGTTCAAATAATTAGTGCAATGATTGGTTAATGAACATTGAAACGGAATAATGGATGACGAATCTGGATCATGTTTTTGATGATGAGACGATAGTGAATAGTGAATGGTTATTGTAGTAATTATTTATTAATTATCTAATATGTTAGGTTGTTAACTGTTTTTACACTGTAGCATTGAATTTTTGCTGTTCTTATTTGTTGTGAACCGCTGTGAGTCGCCTTCGGGCTGAGAACAGCGGTATATAAGCAAAGTAAAGTAAAGTAAAGTAAAGTAAAGTAAATAAATAATTGAAAAAAAGGAATTTCTATGTTTCATCCGTATATGCGAAGATAAACTGCCATGACACCATACTCGCATGGAATTACTGATGTGGGAGGGGAACAAGTTGCCTTTGCTGGAATCTGCCTGAGTCCCCTAACAAAAAAAATATATTATTATTATTGTGGGACTGTGGCACAGCTGGCTGGGAGTCAGCTACATTAAGATCACTACTGACCAAATGGTCATGAGTTCGAAGCCAGCCTGGGTCGGAGTAAGCTTCCGACCAATTTGTGTAGCTTGCTGTCGACCTTTGCAGCCCGAAAGACAGTTGCATCTATCACGTAGGAAATTTAGGTACCGCAAGTGCGGGGAGGCTAATTTACGACGCCATAAAAATCTCCAGCAAGCATGCAAAGAATGAGGAAGTACTTCATCGGTGTCACAAATGGACGGGGAAGCGACAGAATGGTGGCCAGAATACACTCATGAAAAAGCCGGAGTGTTAAATAGCCTCTGTGTGTCTGTCTATATATGTTGTGTGTCTATGGCATTGAATGGTTGCCATGTGTATGTACATTGTAATCCGCCCTGAGTCCCCTGAGGGGTGAGAAGGGCGTAATATAAATACAGTATTTTTAAAAAATATTATTATTATTATTATTGACATAACAAATTTGTAAACAGCAATTTGCTGGCTTTTGTATTTGATCACACGTCGGACACTCCCCAAGTGTCTAGGACTGTGTGATGTATCGGCAAATAATGCGTGGCCTTTTGCAGCTAACTAATAGTAATTTTGTCAGCGCCGATTGTTTTTAAGTGCAGGCCAAGGTCTTTAGGCACTGCACCCAGTGTGCCCATCACATTATTATTATTATTATTATTATTATTATTATTATTATTATTTTGCTGACAGCAAAAGGTGTCACCTCAACATCCTTAAACTTACTCGCCTAATGACGCACAGTACTCACATCAAAACAATCACCATAAACAACTTGCATTCTCTGATGAATCTCCTTTGGCGTGACACCTTCTGCTCTCAAGAATTCAATGACTGCCCGTTGCTTAAGTCGCATTGACCGACCGTCTGTGCGGGGTTCCATACTTCGCACTTTAACAACACAACCGATCAATGCTAAGGCTTCCCGCCAAAATGGAACTGTAGAGGAGAGTCTACTGAACAAGCCAGTACCTGCCACATATATTGCTTAAGTCGAATTGACCGACCATCTGCACGGGGTTCCATACTTCACACTTTAACAACACAATCATTCAATGCTAATGCTTCCTGCCAAAATGGAACTGTAGAAAAGAGTCCACTGAACAAGCCAGTACCTGCCGTATATATTGCTTAAGTCGCACTAACCAACTGGGGTTCCATACTTCTCACTTTAACAACACAATCGTTCAATGCTAAGGCTTCCCGCCAAAATGGAACTGTAGAGGAGAGTCTACTGAACAAGCCAGTACCTGCCGCATACCAGTAGGAGGAGTTACGAAGGTGGAGGCATTACTTTTCATTCAACCCTCGTATTATACTTTGAGCAGTTAATTTTTTTTGCAAAGCAGTATGAAATACCTCTGTTCCTGAGTACTTTGCAAATCGTACCTGCATCTTACGGAGGTTGGGGAAGTCCCCCGGCGAGATCTGGTGCTCCCGCTCGATCTTGAGGTAGATCTCCCCCAGGTTGTTCACCAGCTCCTTCTTCTTGCTCTCCTTCCCAAAAACGTTGGGCATCTCCTTCTTCAGGGAGCTGATGATGTAGGCATGGACCTGTCGATCGTGGACGACAAAAGACGAGAAAGCTTTGAGTCCACCAGGTAGAAAAGTAGAAGGCTGTCTACACTCTGGAGACCATAGAGTCATAAAAGGTCTTCTTCTGGAGGTGACCAGAGGCTGGATGGACATGTATTGGGAGTAATGTGATCCTGTCTGGCAGGTGGGGGTTGGACTGGATGGCCCTTAGGGGTTCCCTTTCAACTCTAGTGTAATATAGACTTCCTGGGAGTCTGCTGGAACCTCCTTCTCTGGAGGTTTTCAAGCAGAAGCTGGATGGCCATCTGTCGGGAGGGCTTAGATGGTGTCTTCCTGTCTGGCAGGCGGGGGTTGGACTGGATGGCCCTTAGGGGTTCCCTTTCAACTCTAGTGTAATATAGACTTCCTGGGAGTCTGCTGGAACCTCCTTCTCTGGAGGTTTTCAAGCAGAAGCTGGATGGCCATCTGTCGGGAGGGCTTAGATGGTGTCTTCCTGTCTGGCAGGTGGGGGTTGGACTGGATGGCCCTTAGGGGTTCCCTTTCAACTCTAGTGTAATATAGACTTCCTGGGAGTCTGCTGGAACCTCCTTCTCTGGAGGTTTTCAAGCAGAAGCTGGATGGCCATCTGTCGGGAGGGCTTAGATGGTGTCTTCCTGTCTGGCAGGTGGGGGTTGGACTGGATGGCCCTTAGGGGTTCCCTTTCAACTCTAGTGTAATATAGACTTCCTGGGAGTCTGCTGGAACCTCCTTCTCTGGAGGTTTTCAAGCAGAAGCTGGATGGCCATCTGTCGGGAGGGCTTGGATGGTGTCTTCCTGTCTGGCAGGCGGGGGTTGGACTGGATGGCCCTTGGAGTTTCTACCAAGCCAATAATAAGAATAATATTTATAACAATATTAATAGTAATATTAACAATATTATTAATAATAATAATAATGTCAATTTAATAATAATAATAATATTAACAAGAATGATGGTGGTGGAGGTCTTTAAGCAGAGGCTGGATGGCCATCTCTTAGGAGGGATTTGATAGTGTCTTCATGCCTAACAATATTAATATTAATACTAATATTAACAATATTATTGATAATAATGTCAATTTAATAATAATATTAACAAGAATGATGGTGGAGGAGGTCTTTAAGCAGAGGTTGGATGGCCATCCGTCAGGAGGGCTTGGATGGTGTCTTCCTGTCTGGCAGGAGGAGGTTGGACTGGATGGCCCTTAGGGTTTCTACCAAGCCAATAATAAGAATAATATTTATAACAATATTAATAGTAATATTACCAGTATTATTTTTAATAATAATGTCAATTTAATAATAATATTATTAACAAGAATGATGATGGTGGAGGTCTTTAAGTAGAGGCTGGGTGGCCATCTCTTAGGAGGGATTTGATGGTGTCGTCATGCCTAGCAATATTAACAATATTACTGTTATTATATGTAATTTAAGCTATTAATATCCTGTATATTATATATATATATATAGACACACACACACATACATATACATATATATAATTTAAGCTTTTCATATCATTTATACTTGATTTAATCTGGTGCATATACACATAATAATAATAATAATAATAATAATAATAATAATCTTTATTTATATCCCGCCACAATCTCCCCAATGACATATACTCCAATGACAAAATGTTGAGGCTAAGCAGTGGTGTGGGATTTAAGCCGGGTTTTAAGGTCCTTTTTTAAAGGACATAAGCATCTCATGTCCACGTTCTTGAATATAATGCATATGTTTCCAGTCATTTTTCTTACTGACATTTTATTGATTTTTGTTGTTAAAAACCTCCCATCAACCAGACTCACTGCAAGTTGCTTCTGGTATGAGAGAATCAGTCGTCTACAAAGACATTGCCCAGGGGATGCCCGGATGTGTAACTATCTTGCAGGGAGGCTTCTGCTGATAATATACTGTTTAGCCGATATTGCACCACCGGACATCCGTCAGGAAGGGACAAAGAGTTTCATCTATGCTGACGATCGTGCCATCACCACTCAAGCAGGAAGCTTTGAAATGGTCGAACAGAAGCTCTCCAAAGCTTTAGGTGGTCTTACTGCCCATTCCAGGAAAAACCAGCTGATTCCTAATCCATCAACAGTGCAGACGTGGGCTATCCATCTTAACAACAGACAAGCATCTCGAGCTCTGAGGATGACCTGGGAAGGAATCCCACTGGAACATTGCAGCACACCCAAATACCTGGGAGTCACTCTGGACTGCACTCTGACTTATCAGAAGCACTGTTTGAATATCAAGCAAAAAGTGGGTGTTAGAAATAATATCATACAAAAGCTGTCTGGCACAACCTGGGGTTTACAACCAGACACAGTTACGGCATCTGCCTTTGCGCTTTGCTACTCTGCTGCTGAGTATGCATGCCCAGTGTGGGATGATGATGATGATGATGATAATAATAATAATAATAATAATGATGATGATGATGATAATAATAATAATAATAATAATAATAATAATAATAATAAAGCGATGTATCTCAAAAATCTCATATAAAACCTGCCCTGATTCCAAACCAGCTAGGAACGGATTCTTTCTTAGTTTCGGTTTCACATAATAGCAAAGATGAATAATCTAACAGCAAATGCAACTTGTTCCTTTATTATTAGGCACGATTATACTGAGTTGGAAGGGCCCCTCAAAGGCCATCCAGTCCAATGTTCTTCTTTCTAAAGGAAGACTCCTATTATTATTATTATTATTATTATTATTATTATTAGGTACGATTATACAGAGTTGGAAGGGTCCCCCAAAGGCCATCCAGTCCATCCAGTTCTTTCTAAAGGAAGACTCCTATTATTATTATTATTATTATTATTATTATTATTATTATTATTATTATTATTAGGTACGATTATACAGAGTTGGAAGGGTCCCCCAAATACCATCCAGTCCAACCCTCTTCTTTCTAAAGGAAGACCCTATTATTATTATTATTATTATTATTATTATTATTATTATTATTATTATTATTTGGCACGATTATACAGAGTTGGAAGGGTCCCCCAAATACCATCCAGTCCAACCCTCTTCTTTCTAAAGGAAGACTCTTATTATTATTATTATTATTATTAGGTACGATTATAGAGTTGGAAGGGTCCCCCAAAGGCCATCCAGTCCATCCAGTTCTTTCTAAAGGAAGACTCCTATTATTATTATTATTATTATTATTATTATTATTATTAGGTACGATTATAGAGTTGGAAGGGTCCCCCAAAGGCCATCCAGTCCATCCAGTTCTTTCTAAAGGAAGACTCCTATTATTATTATTATTATTATTATTATTATTATTATTATTATTATTAGGTACGATTATAGAGTTGGAAGGGTCCCCCAAAGGCCATCCAGTCCATCCAGTTCTTTCTAAAGGAAGACTCCTATTATTATTATTATTATTATTATTATTATTATTATTAGGTACGATTATAGAGTTGGAAGGGTCCCCCAAAGGCCATCCAGTCCAACCCTCTTCTTTCTAAAGGAAGACTCCTATTATTATTAATATTATTATTATTATTATTATTATTATTATTATTATTATTAGGTACGATTATACAGAGTTGGAAGGGTCCCCCAAATACCATCCAGTCCAACCCTCTTCTTTCTAAAGGAAGACCCCTATTATTATTATTATTATTATTATTATTATTATTATTATTATGGTACGATTATACAGAGTTGGAAGGGTCCCCCAAATACCATCCAGTCCAACCCTCTTCTTTCTAAAGGAAGACTCCTATTATTATTATTATTATTATTATTATTATTATTAGGTACGATTATACAGAGTTGGAAGGGTCCCCCAAATACCATCCAGTCCAACCCTCTTCTTTCTAAAGGAAGACTATTATTATTATTATTATTATTATTATTATTATTAGGTACGATTATACAGAGTTGGAAGGGTCCCCCAAATACCATCCAGTCCAACCCTCTTCTTTCTAAAGGAAGACCCCTATTATTATTATTATTATTATTATTATTATTATTATTATTAGGCATTTTCTGACTTTCTTTATGGTGTCGCAAAACACCTCCTCTGCTTTTAGCGGTACCTAATTTCTGTAATCACAGCTAAAGCTGTTTTCAAATTGCTTAGGTAAACAATGAGCTAGGCTGACAGTTGGCAGCTCACGCCAACCCGGGGCTTCAACCTTGCAACCTTTTGGTTGATAGATCTTATAATTGCTGATGATTTACCAGCTATGCTAAACCTCACCACGTTAAAACTGCCTTAATAAGACATCCTGTGATAATGTCTATGCCCAACGCCACCGGAGAAATTATCCCGTATTGCACCACCTGTTGTGGCTCAGCCTGAGCTTTCTGAGCCTGAGTTTCCTCAGGACGAGGAGGATAATGGGTTCCAGATTTTTGAACATGTTCCGGTTATTGAGGCAGATAGTGTTGATTCTGAAGAAGAGACGGCATTTCTGTTCCCCAGAGAAAGGAATGTGGCTTTAGATAAAGATAGTGAAACTAGAGCTCAGGGCCTCTTGGTTCCCAGGGTGACCAGGCCCAGCAGGCCCAGGATAATGAGCTAACCGGCCTTGAAGATAGTGGAAATTTGATTAGACAGGCCCGTTTGCAATTAAGAGTTCGCAGAAGCGCACGCCTTGCCAACAAACGTGAAGCTAGAGGTCAACGCAATGCTTTCATGTTGGGAGAACATATTTAATGATCTGGTCGAAGGGCATTCTTTGTCAGTGCAATGTTGCTTATACCCTATTAACTTCTGTGGAAATACCTTGGCTTTTGGGGAAAGCTTCTGGCTCTTTGGGACTATGGTTTTGATCCCGATTTTTGGAGATGTCGTTTTGCTGCCATGGACTCTTGTTTAACCAATGCTAAAGGACTATGCTTCAAGGTATTTGCCTTTGGATCTTGGGAACTTTTGATTTTGATTTTGCCTTTTCTCAATAAACTACAAAACCTACAGCCTTGGTGTGTGGTGGTGTCTTGAGCAAGGTGAATCTATCCTGAGCTGCGACACCACCTGACATCTGTTGGGAAGTAGCAGCCTGGAATTAAAGGACCAAGTCAGTGACATCTCTGGCCCATCCTCTATTCAGATATCAGCCAGCAAGCCAACAACTTAAATCAAGAAATAGCTTCTTAAGATCTACAGAGTTACTCGCAGGAACACCTCAGCAAGCGAGAGTCCAAAAGTGGCAGGCTCAAACACAGAACCTCAATCAATGGCTGATACCAAATGAGAGACTCCCCCCTGCTGTATTTCTGGTTACAGAGATTTTACTATTTTCTCTAGTGAAGCCTCCCAGAGTCACGAGGGATTAGAGCACCTTCAAGAATTAGCCTGGGGAACAGAACAGGTAACATGGGCTAATTCTATAATTTTGGGATCGTTCAGACTCACCTTGGCCAGCCGGGCCCGTTTGATGAGGTCGTTGAGCTTCCGAAGGGCGGCATTTCGGGGCAGCGACTGGATGTCCTTGAAGAGGTCCTGCTCCTCGGCCTCAAAGAGCTTCCGGTTGTCCGGGATGAGCAACGGGTGGGACCAGAAGGAGCCGATGTAGACGCGCACCACCTCGGGGGTGTTGATGATCTTGCCCAGCGACCACATCAGGGCCCCGTAGACCCGCATCAGCTGCTGGGTCTCGATCTGGTCCGCCTTGTTCAGCACCACCCGGATCTTGTCCTCGTGGTTCTTCAGGGCCTTGATCACCTCTGAGAACTCGTCTGAAATGTCCAGCTTGTGGGCGTCGAAGAGCAGGATGATGCGGTCTACCCGCTCCGCAAACCACTCCAAAACGGCGGCAAAGTCGTAACCTGGGGGGGAAACCAGGGGCAGTGTTAACGTCAGATAGTCAGACTTTCACAACCAGCAAAGGCAACTGGTTCCTCTACCACATCATTAGACCCATAGCAGCAAACTTTTGGATCTCAACTAAAGCAATGTCTCTCACAAATCACGTATAAAACCTGCCCTGATTCTAAATCAGCTAGGAACGGATTCTTTCTTAGTTTTGGTTTCACATAATAGCAAAGATGAATAATCTAACAGCAAAGGTAACTTGTTCCCCTACCACATCATTAGATCTGTAAGAGCAGACAAAGTTGCCTTTGCTGTTAGATTATTCATCTTTGCTATTATGTGAAACCAAAACTAAGAAGGAATCCGTTCCTGGCTGGTTTAGAACCAGCCCGGGTCGGAGTGAGCTTCCAACCAACTTGTGTAGCTTGCTGTCGACCTTTGCAGCCCGAAAGTCAGCTGCATCTGTCAAGTAGGAAATTTAGGTACTGCTTATACTTATTTACGCCATATAAAATCTCCAGGAAGCATGCAAAGAATGAGAAAGTACTTCATCAGTGTCACAAATGGAAAATGAAGTGACAGCTCCCCTGGTGGCCAGAATACCCTCATGAAAAAAGCTGGAATGTTAAATAGCCTCTGTGTGTCTGTCGATATATGTTGTGTGTCTATGGCATTGAATGTTTGCCATGTATATGTACATTGTAATCTGCCCTGAGTCCCCTACACGGTGAGAAGGGCGGAATATAAATACTGTAAATAAATAAACAAACAAATAATGTGATTTAATGTTTTAAATGTATGTAATGTTATTGGATTTTATTATATACTAGCTTGGGGACCCGGCAACTTGAGAAAGGCATTGTGCGCCAAGGTTGGTCTTTATCAGTTATTTATGTGGCTCGCAGTGCTCTCAGGAAGTTAGTAAAGGTACTACAACTCCCATCGTCCATGGTCCATCGTCCTCCAAACAGCATCAGGATGTAGAGTGGGTCATGAGGGCTCTGTGTGCCAAGTTTGGTCTTGATTATTGGATGAGGTTCACAGCGGTTTCGGGAAGTGAGTGAAGGTACTTCAAGTCCCATCATCTGTGGTCCATCCTCCTCCCACCAGGATGTAGAGTGGGTCATGGGGGCTCTGTGTGCCAAGCCTGGTCTTGATCAGTTATTGGATGAGTGTCACAGCGGTCTCGGGAAGTAAGTGGTTGTACTACAAGTCACATAATCCCTGGCCCACCCTCAGCAGTAGGATGTAGAGTGGGTCATGGGGGCTCTGTGTACCAAGTTTGGTCTTTATTGGTCTTTGTTGGGGGACGCAGTAGTCTGTGGGAACAAAAGGTGGGAAAGTACTACAAATCCCATCATCCATTGTCCGTCCTCCCCTAACCATCACCAGGACATAAAGAGTGTAATGGGGGTTATGTGTGCCAAGTTTGGTCTTGATTGGTCATTGGATGGGGGTCGCAACAGTCTCGGGAAGTGAGTGGAGGTACTTCAAGTCCCATCATCCATGGTCAGCCCTGCTGCAAACTGCAGTAGGATGTAGAATGGGTCATGGGGGCTCTGTGTGCCAAGCTTGGTCTTTATTGGTCTTTGTTGGGGGCCGCAGTAGTCTGTGGGAACAAAAAGTGGGAAAGTACTACAATTCCCATCATCCATTGTCCGTCCTCCCCCAACTCTCACCAGGACGTAAAGGGAGTCAAGGGGGTTATGTGTGCCAAGTTTGGTCTTGATTGGTCATTGGATGAGGGTCGCAACGGTCTCGGGAAGTGAGTGGAGGTACTTCAAGTCCCATCATCCATGGACAGCCATCCTCCAAACTGCAGTAAGATGTAGAATGGGTCATGGGGGCTCTGTGTGCCAAGTTTGGTCTTTATCGGTCTTTGTTGGGGGCCACAGTGGTCTGTGGGAACCGATGGGTTTGAAAGTACTACAAATCCCATCATCCTTTGCCCGTCCTCCCCCAAACCTCACCAGGACGTAAAGGGGGTCATGGGGGTTATGTGTGTCAAGTTTGGTGCAGGTGCGTCACCCGTGTGGGTAACAGTGGCCTGTGAAATTGGCAGCCAAACAGAAAGCTGCCACATACATTGTCCTCCCTCCACATACAAACACTGACTTTTATTATATACATAGATAGATAGAAGATAGATTTTATTATGTGCACCAGGACGTAAAGGGGGTGATGGGGGTTATGTGTGTCAAGTTTGGTGCAGGTGCATCACCCGTGTTGGTCACAGTGGCCTGTGAAAGTGGCAGCCAATCAGAAAGCTGCCACATACACCATCCTCCCTCCACATACAAACACTGACTTTTATTATATACATAGATAGAAGATAGATAGATAGAAGATAGATAGATTTTATTATGTGTACATTGGAGACATTGAATTGTTGCCGGCTAGAAGCCGCCTTGAGTGTCCATGTCCGTCCGTCCCGTCGGCGGGGGGGGGGGGGGGGGGGGGGGGGGTTGAGAAGGGCGGGGTACAAACATAGGAAATAAAAAATTAATTCAATATAGTTTTCCAATCAATTTAATGCTCAAGGGATTCCTCAACAGAGTCAGGCCACAAAGACTTCCATTCTGTTCCTCCATTGCCTCTGGGAATTTCCCAAAACCAGTGCATTTCGACTGTTTTTCGTAAGCCGGCATTTCGACACCTGGTCGAATTTCCCGAAGTAAAAGGAGGAAGCCCTTTTGTTTGCAAAACCACAACTTCCCCAATTTTGGTTTGTTTTCTTTGAAACGAGGCTCAGAGGCTAAGAAGACAACAAAGCTAACATATCCAAGGGGGTTTTGAGGCTTTGAGGTGAACACCAACCCGGACAACCGAGGAGGTAAACGAATGCTTTCGACAGAACTTGCCCAAGTCGTCTTGTTTTGGACGATGATACCCAGATATTGAATGAAAAGTAATGCCTCCACCTTCGTTACTTGGGCTTGGATGGGGATATTTTAATAAATCAAACGCAGAAATAATCCTTAGAACAGTGTTTCTCAACCTGGGGGTCGGGACCCCTGGAGGGGTCATGAGGGGGTTTCAGAGGGGTCGCCAAAGACCATCACAAAACACATATTTCTGATGGTCTTAGGAAACCTTTTGGCAGAAAAGCTGAAGATCTCTCTGCCTGTCCTCATCCTTGTTGGTGTTGGTGAATGACAACTCCCAGAATTCAAAAACAGCCCCCCCCCCAACCCCACCAGTAGTTAATGTTGGCCATGTCGGTAGTGTGCCAAGTTTGGTGCAGATCCATTTTGGGCTGGGTTCAGAGTGCTATTTGATTATAGGTGAACTATAAATCCCAGCAATTACAACTCCCAAATGTCAAGGTCTATTTTCCCCAAACTCCACCAGTGTTCACATTTGGGCATATTGAGTATTCATGCCAAGTTTGGTCCAGATCCATCATTGTTTGAGTCCACAGTGCTCTCTGGATGTAGGTGAACTACAACTCCAAAATCTAAGGTCAATGCCCACCAAACCAGTATTTTCTGTTGGTCATGGGAGTTCTGTGTGCCAAGTTTGGTTCAATTCCATCGTTGGTGGAGTTCAGAATGCTCTTTGATTGTAGGTGAACTATAAATCCCAGCAACTACAACTCCCAAATGACAAAATGAATCCCCCCCAACCCTACCAGTTTTCAAATTTGAGCATATTGGCTATTTGTGTCAAATATGGTCCCATGAATGACCTGCATATCAGATATTTACATTACAATTCATAACAGTAGCCAAATTACAGTTACGAAGTACCAATGGAAGTAATGTGATGGTTGGGGGTCACCAACACATGAGGAACTGCATTAAGGGGTCACGGCATTAGGAAGGTTGAGAAACACTGCCTTAGAATGTGCTCTTTAATTCTATTCCACATAATCACCAGACAATTGGATACACGTCTACCAACAATGAAGCCGTCGCGGATGAAGTTGACACTCTGTTTCCGCAACCAGCATCTCACAGTTCTCTCAACCACTATCCACTTTTCTACATAATCACCAGACAATCGGATACATTTCTGCCAACGATGAACAAGTTTTCTGAAGCTGTCGCAGAAGAAGTCGACACTCTGTTTCCACTACCAGTGTCTCCCAGTTCTCTCAACCACTATCCACTTTCCCACATAATCACCAGACAATCGGATACATTTCTGCCAACGATGAACAAGTTTTCTGAAGCCGTCGCAGAAGAAGTCGACACTCTGTTTCCACTACCAGCGTCTCCCAGTTCTCTCAACCATTATCCACTTTTCCAACATAATCACCAGACAATCGGATACATTTCTGTCAACGATGAACAAGTTTTCTGAAGCCGTCGCAGAAGAAGTCGACACTCTGTTTCCACTACCAGCGTCTCCCAGTTCTCTCAACCACTATCCACTTTTCCACATAATCACCAGACAATCGGATACATTTCTGACAACGAAGAACAAGTTTTCTGAAGCCGTCGCAGAAGAAGTCGACACTCTGTTTCTGCAACCAGCGTCTCCCAGTTCTCTTGACGTCTTCATCAGAAGCATCATGATGTCCCCGCAGATCTTCTTTCATTATCGGGAACAGATAAAAGTCAGACAGTGCTAAATCTGGGCTGTATGGAGGATGCCGTCCTGGGTACCCATCATGCACAGATCTTCCGATAGCCAAGCAAAGCAATAATGTGACCCACACGTTCTTGTGAAATGCCAATTATGCTTGAAATTTCTCTCTGAGTGATACGACGATCGTCCGGAATCAATCTGTCAACCTTTTGCTTGTGAAACTCGGTGGTTGCTGTCACAGGACGTCCAACTCTTTGTTTGTCACGCGAGTCAGATCTTCCCACCTCAGCGTCTTTAAACTTTCTCACCCAACGACGCACAGTACTCACATCAACACAATCACCATCAACAGCTTGCATTCGCCGATGAATCTCCTTTGGGGTGACACCTTCTGCTGTCAAGGATTCAATGACTGCACGTTGTTCGCATTGACCAACCGTCTGTGCCAGGTTCCATACTTCGCACTTTAGCAACACAACCG